GTAAATCACCATTGAGGAAGGCATTTTTAACATCAAGCTGGAACAAGGGCCATGAATAGGTGGCTGCTAGAGATAAAAGGCTACGAACTGAACTCATCTTAGCTATTGGTGCAAAGGTTTCCAGATAATCAACACCATAGGTCTGAGTATACCCTTTTGCTACCAACCTTGCCTTGTATCTCTCTATCTTGCCATCAGCCCTATAATTCACTGTGAATACCCATCTACATCTGACTGTCTCCTAGTCTAGGGGGAGATCAACTATTTCCCATGTTTGGTTTTTAACCAAAGCATCCATATCATCTTGCATGGTTGTTTTCCACTCAGGTTTGGAGAGAGCCTCAGTAACATTTCTGGGTATAGACACAGAATCCAGGGAAAAAAGAAAAGCATGGTAGGAGGGTGATAAGGCACTGTAGGAAAGATGGTGTGAAATGCAATGGGTTGTACACTTTCTCTTCCCCTTACGAAGTGCAATGGAAAGATCAAGGTCAGTGGGATCAGCTGCAACAATGGTGTTAGAGACAAGAACATTATCATTAGAAAACATAACAGACTCAGTCTCAAGAGTAATGCCTAGAACTGTATCTGCCGAATTTGGAGTTTCAAAAGGACTGATAGAGAGTGGCGTGGGTTGAGGATGTGTGGAGTCAACCATCATCTGCCGGCGCTGATATTTCTGTGAGGCTGCCTGTAGTGGCTCAGGTAATGAAACTGGAGGTGCAGGTGTTGGCTGAACTGATGGAGGTGTTGGCTGAACTGATGAAGGTGTTGGCTGAACTGATGAAGGTGCCAAAGAAATAGGAAGAGGAACAGATTGTGAGTTCTCCTCCCCAAAACTCTCCCCCCGAGGAGAACCACTCGAGAAGAAGAAAGTGGATTCAAAGAAGGTAACATCCATTGTGACAAATTTGCTCCTTGACACTGAGTCATAATAGCAATACCCCTTTTGGTTCTGAGCATACCCAAGAAAAACACATTTCTTGGCCTTAGGATCCAATTACTTGCGATGAGGGCCAAGAATGTGAACAAAGGAAACACACCCAAAAACCCTCAGAGGTATATGAAATATCTCCCCATCTGGAAAAAACAGACTAAATGGCACCTTAAACCCCAAAGTCCGTGAAGGAACACGGTTAATCAAATGCACGGTTTTAAGAACTGCATCTCCCCAGAATTGCACAGGAACTGAAGCACACACCATAAGACTCCTTGCCACCTCCACAACGTGTCTGTTTTTTCTCTCAACAACTCCATTCTGTTGTGGTGTATATGCACAACTGTTCTGATGAATTACCCCATGTTCTAGGAGATAACGTGGTCAAGTCCTTCTCAAAGTACTCTCTGGCATTATCTGATCTAAAAAACTTAGTTCTCACTCCAAATTGTGTGAGAACCATCTGGTGGAACTGTCGTACCAAGTTAGGAACCTCATCACGTGATCTCATCAAATATATCCAAGAATATCATGTATAGTCATCCACAAACAAGAGAAAGTAATGGAATCCTCCCATGGAAGGGATATGATATGGCCCCCATACATCAGTGTGAACAATATTAAAAGCAAAAGTACTTCTTTTATTATTTGGTTTAAAAGACTGTCTACAATGCTTTCCTAACTGACAACTCTCACACTCTAAAGTAGATAATTGAACAGGCTCAAACAACTTTGGGAAAAGACATTTCAAAGAACTAAAAGAAAGGTGTCCCAAGCGATTGTGCTAGAGCATAATCTGGTTCACTGACTCTGACCCACTACTATTGTTGCTGCTAACATTATGGCCCTGATGTCTCGAAATCTCATCCAAAAGGTAGACTCCATTCACCTCACGACCACTCCCAATTATCTTCTTTGACTCCAGATCTTGCAAAACACAATTACCAGGAAGAAAGGTCACGAAACAATTCAAATTCTTTGTCAAAGAACTAACAAACAGTAGGTTGGTATGAAGTCTAGGGACATGTAAAACAGAAGACAGAGTTATGTCATTGGTCACTCTAACTGTCCCTTTCCCAGCAATGGGAGTATGTGAACCATCTGCTGTAGAGACTCTGTCTCTACCAGAGCACAATTGATAGGAACTGAAAAGGGTAGGGGCATTGGTCATGTTCTTAGATGCTCCTGATTCTATAATCCAAGGAGGTCCCTCCTTACCTGAAGTGGATGCAAGATTTGCAGTTGCATATGAAATACCTATATGTGCAAAGGAAGAGGTATAGCTGGCTCCTGCATTCTGTTGTCCATCTGGAAGGCTAGTGCTAGGTGAACCTTTCTTACTCATAATCTGTTAAAACCTCTCCAATTCTGTCTTCACTACTACTACCGCAATGGATTCCCAATCAGTTTAAGAAAGAGGGGCCGAAGAGTCTCCTGCAGTGGCTACATTTGCATTTCCCTTCTTGTTCCTTATTTGGGTAGGAATAAGATTTGGATGAAGCTTCCAACAAGTGTCCCTGGTATGCTTAGGCTTCTTACAATAATCACACACCAAGTCCTTCTTATCTTCCCTTCTAGTCTCACTACTCCCCCTGTCTCCATTCGGCTTAGGTTTTGTTGTACCAACCATAGCCGACTGGTCAATCCCAGGCTGTCTCAGCATTACATTCCTCCTACTCTCCTCTCCAGAGACAAAGGCATAGC